CTGGTGGTCCAGTGGTTAAGAATTCACCTTGCAATACAGGTGACGCAGGTTTGATCCCAGGTTGGAGAGCCAAGATCCCACATGCCTCCGAGCAACTAAGCCCATACGCCGCAACTACTGAAGCCCGCGTGCCACAGCTAGAGAATCCGTGCACTGCAGTGATTTGAATCAGTTCTAATGAGGTGGATGAAATGGGAGCCTATTATACAGAATGAAGTAAGTCAGAAAGAAAAACACCAATATACTATATTAACACATATATGTGGAATTTAGAAAGATGGTAATGATGACCCTATATGTAAGACAGCAAAAGAGACACAGATATAAAGAACAGACTTTTGGACTCTGTGGGAGAAGGTGAGGGTGGGATGATTTGAGAGAAAAGCATTGAAACATGTATATTACCACATATGAAATAGATGATCAGTCCAAGTTCCATGTATGAAACAGGGCACTCAAAGTTGGTACACTGGAACAAACTAGAGGGATGGGATGGGGAAGGAGGTGGGGAGGTTCAGGATGGGGGACATATGTACACCCATGGCTGATTCATGTCAATGTTTGGCAAAAACCACTACAATATTGAAAAGTAATCAGCCTCCAATTAAAATAAATAAATTAATTTTTAAAAAGAGCCTGCATGTTGCAACTAAGACCTAACATGGATAAATAAATAAATAATTTTTCAAAGTTGTGCTTAGATAAACTCGATCCTCACCCATTGCTCTTCCCTTTCAATAAACATTCCTAGGTATTCAGTATGTGTGTGTGTGTGTGTGTGTGTGTGTGTATGTGTGTATCTTGGGACATACATCCACCTTTCCATTCTGCACCTCTGGTTAGATCAGGTATTTAAGAAGATGAGGAGAAACTGGATAGCTCTGTAGTAAAACAGAAATAGAAAGCCAAGGTAAATATGAAGCATGTGATAACTGATTTAGGAAATTACAGTTAAGGAATACATGGTAACTTACTCTGCATTTTTTTTCTTTTTCAAAGGCTTCATCCATCGCTTTACCTACAAAACCTGGATTTTAAAAAGATTTTAAAGAGGTTTTGTAATCTTGCAATGAAAGGAACTAGGTCAAAATGTGCTCTGATTATTTGGTTTTCAGCTTTAAAATTTTCAGAAGCTGATGGGTTACACAGTATGATCAAAACTCCTCCACGAGGGATTCCAAACTCTCGATGACTGGGCAATGATTGGGCAATGAAATCTTGATGATTTTCTTTCCAGCCAACAGCTCCTGCCACCACCTACTAAGACTATGTTACCTAAACTAGTTTTAGGTTAGTTTTATACCTAAACTAACTTGAGATTTTTTTTTCTTCATTGTGTTTCCTTTCACTGGAAAGCTCTTCAGAGCAACTGTCATGAACTCAATGGCCATGGACTGAACAAAAATCCACAAACGTTCCTGTTTCTCTGTAAAAACATTAGACCCATCCTTTGGTGGATGAACGGATAAAAAAAAAAAAAAGGTGATCTGTCTGTACCATAGAATACTATTCAACCATTAAAAGGAAGTAAGCTCTGACACGTGCTACAACATGGTTGAACCTTGAAAACACGATGCTGAGTGAAAGAAGCCAGACACAAAAGACCACATATGATTCCAGTTACATGGAATGAATGAACTAGATAAATCCATTGAGACAGAAAATAGATTTGTGCCGGTCAGGGGGTGGGAAGGTGGAGGGGAAGAATAGGGGCTAATTGCTTAATAGGAACAGGACTTAATTTTGGGGTGATGAAAATGTTCCAGAACTAGTTAGAGGCGGCAGTTTCTCAGTATTGTGAATGTACAAAATGCCACTCAATTCTTTGCTGTGAAATGGTTAACTTTATGTTATGCGTATTTCCTTTCAGTGAAACAAAACAAGCAACCACGGTGAATCTGGGACCTCATTCTGCTTGGTAAGGACAGCCTGGGACCCAGAAGTCACTGACCTTTTCAGGTATGGTGTTTATGCTCCTGTTTGCCAAAGCATCGGCGTCTCTTCCTATTTGGTTATTGGCCCACTTCTGTAGCCTAGCTGGCCTGGGCTTAGTATCAGCAATAAGAGGACAGAGTATATTGTATTGGTAGCAGTTAGCAGGGTGCATTGAGCAGTGAGGATGTTCCGTTTTTATTGTCACTCAACGTCTAGATGGTCTGTCCCTTCAGTGTTATCACCTGTCACTCCTCTACGTGTCCCATCACTCCCGCTGGACCAACTGCAATTCCCTGCCCAGGCCCTGTCCATGTTTTGCCTATGGTTCCCTGCAAACTCCTTTCAAGGCTGTTTAACAGCATAATTTCCCTGAGGCATCTCCCAAACCACCCTCCTTCCAACACTCAGATCACTTTCCCCACTCTCTTCACTTTCAGTGTTGGTTTGCCCCACCTTGACCCAGTTCCTGGAAGGAGAATGTACATCCACTTGGTTTCCAGTTTCCGGAGTCAGGTGCATATATCATTACTCCCCAAAGCTGATGCCAGTTGGGCCCTGATCCTTTGGTCAATTCAGGAACTTAAAACACTGTTTCCCCGACCTCTCTCTCTTAGTAGCTTTTCTTTCCAAATTTTAGGTAAGATTTGTGAGATGTGATGTTTGAGACATCAGAAGAAAGACGGGCTTTGCCCCCATCCCACTGTATCACAACTTTTTTAGAAACTAATTACATTGCACATGCCAAGACTCTCGGTGATATTTCAGGCAAGCACTGTATCTTCAGAAGTTCCAAGAAGGGACTTCCCTGGTGGCGCAGTGGTTTAAAAAAAAACCCACCTTCCAATGCAGGGAATGTGAGTTCAATCCCTGGTCAGGGAACTAAGATTCCACATGCTGTGGAGCAACTAAGTCCACAGGTTGCAACTACTGAAGTGGGTACCCTCTTGAATCCATGCTACACAACCAGGGAGTCCCTGCACCACCACAAAGATCCCATGTGCTGCAACTATGCCCCAATGCAGCCAAATAAATATAAACAAATAAGAATAGTTTAAAAGCTGTTAAGAAAAAAAAGAAGTTTCAAGGCATACCAGGCATATAGAGACTTACACACTCTAATGTTAGTTTGTAATATTTTTCTACCCTACCTTGAGTTGATGCTCTAAAGATAGATTTCTTGTTCTATTGCCCCATCTGCTGGCAAAACTTCACAGAACAGCTTTCTACTAACATTTTAAGTCTCCTAGGAAAGTTCAAGTTCATATTGTATTCCAAATTGAGCCATAAAAAAAAAAGTGAAAACCTTTAAAGGCTTCCCCCCCACAAACTACTTCTCGCTTCAAGTGCCTTTCTCATGAATTCGTTAACTGTGGGAGATGTCAAGATCACAGATTTTGTTTCAAATTTTTCAAACTTCCCTGAGCATAAGAATCACATGGTGTCACTTGTTGAAAGAAAATCCCTTGCTTCCAGCCCAGGAAGCAAGATTTCTGGGCTCTTGACTCTACAGAATCAAGATTACCTGGGAATGTGTGTTTTCAGAACCACCACCACCACCGCCCCCCACTGAATTTCTACAATTAAGCTACCATGAGAAACACTGAAAGCCTGTTCCTTTTAGCTCACAGATGAAGCTGTGGGGCTGTGGACTTGGGGAGGTGGCCTGGGGAGACTGCAGCTCTCCCCAACCCCCACCCCGACTCTGACTGAAGCATACACTTTTAAAAAGGAATAAGAAAATGTTTGTTGTACAAACGTCCCATTAAAGCCAGCCCCTAGAAGCACTTGCCTTTGTTGTTGTTCAGTCGCTAAGTCATGTCCACCTCTTTGCGACCCCTTGGACTGCAGCACGCCAGGCTTCCCTGTCCTTCACTATCTCCCAGAGTTTGCTCAAACTCCTGTCCATTGAATCAGTGATGCCATCCAACCATCTAATCCTCTGTTGCCTCCTTCTCCTCCTGCCCTCAATCTTTCAAGGGTCTTTTCCAATGAGTCGGGTCTTCGAATCAGGTGGCCAAAGTATTGGAACTTCAGCATCAGTCCTTCCACTGAATCTTTAGGGTTGATTTCCTTAAAGATGGACTGGTTTGATCTTGCTGTCCAAGGGACTCTCGTGAGTCCACCTACACCCCACTGTAAGGAAGTTACTGAATTGTTACTGGACTTAACTAGTCACATGGTCACCATCCGTCCCACTTTCCAGCCTGACAGATAATTCCGTTCTATTTTACAATATTCAGTTTTAACTGTTTTGGTTTTGTCCAGTGAGGAAATGGAACTTCTATTGAGGGCATGGAGCTCACTGCCTCTGCTATCAATGCAGACGCTGGAACAGTTATATGAACATGTTCTGCAATTTGTCAGACATGTAAATTAGTGGGTCCCACCTATGAACCTACAGATCCGGAAGCTCTAGTGGTGGGAGCCGTGGGATCTGTGGTTTAACCAGCCCTCTGGGTGACCCTGATGCAGGATAAATTTGAGAACAACTCTCCTCCATGGGAACACGCATGCACTCAGCACCTAATCTGTTTATCTGGAAAGTTATATGTGTAGGTACACAGCCAACCACCTGGTGTTCCAGCTTGAGAATGTAGTTTTATCTCTTCGGAGGCAAAATTCAAATTTCATTTGTTTTTTTGATAAATGAAATAGCTTATTTTAAGAGACCAGCCCAAGAGTAAATTTCTTTTTTTTTTAACAGCAGGGAGCTCAAAACACACCTGGTCACAATTTCAGTTTCTCAATGGCATGTGAGTGCACAGCCTGGCTCCACGAGCAGGAACAAATCAAGACCACTGCGATCTTTGCCAACTGCTCATCACAGGTGTTTCAGGTACAACTCAGGCAAGGTGTGGGCGGGGTCTGATGAGGCATGGGCGGGGTCTAGGCGGGGCTTGTCTGGCCCAGCCTCCCTCTGCACCCCTCCAAAACTGCCATTCCCCAGCAGCCAATCAGCACCTAGCACGGGCCACTGCCCGCCATGCCGTTAGCTCGGTGCCACGTGCAGAGCAGTTTACTCCTTGAAGTCAGTGTCCATCCGCCCTGAAAAAAAGAGGACCCTTCTATTTCCACTGCGCCCCCCCCCCCCCACCAGGCCCTTCAATCGCCCAGAGTGGACAGCGAGGTAAGAGCGAACCCAGCGGCTCTGCGGGGTCGAGAGGCACAAGAATCCATTTGGGCCGGCATCGTGGCTCAAAGTCCCAAGTCCCGGCGCGGAGGAATCTGGTGTGAGAAAACCGTTGGCTGCGCCGCGTAACTGTTAGTGTGGTCCGGGCGTCCGCTAGCGTGGGGAGGTTGTGGGTGCGTAGCTGTGGACCAGCGCCGGCAAGGTTGTTACCCTCGGGCTCCGGCCTGTGGGCCTGGTGAGGCTGTGGCCCTGCAGCGGGGCGTCCTCCACCGCGGTCGTTTAGCCTGTGCTGAGTGCTGTATCGCTCTGCACTCAGTGGGCACGGGTGGGGGCGGGGAAGCGAGCGGGATCGGGAGAAGGACTGGGGACCGCGGCGGGCAGCCTTGGGGCGCGGGAGGATCCGCTGCATGTTTGGGGAGGACACTAGTGTCTTTGCCCCTGGGGTGGATGTCCACTTGACCTGGATGTCCTTTGTAGCTGGTGTGGTGCCTTTGAGCACCAGCTGGATTTCTCACCTCCAGGTGATGGATGGGAGTGGCTTGTGGTCCAGCCTGGGGGATGTTGAAGTGGGGAGTACACAGCTGAGTCCAGCTCGTATGCAGTGCACCCGGGTATGGGGTCGACCCGCGGGGTCTGTCTTTGACGCTGTGGGTAGCGCGCTCCAGGGCCCTCGGGCTCAGTGATCATCTGAACCACCTGCAGCCTGGTGAACAGGGCTTCTCTCTTGGGGCTGGGAGTGGGACCCCCATTCCACTTTGCATTTCAATCGGGTGCTAGGTGTTGCCAGTCCAGGAGCACGCTCTGAGAACTACTGCAGTAGTTTTTAAAAAAATCACTTATTGGGGTGGCAGTTCAGCTTATTACTAGGTTTTTACAACATATGCACACAGACACTGCTAGGTTGCCAAGTGTTGGGCTTAGGTACAAAGGACTAGACTGATTAGCAGCCTTGTCTAGAGGAGCTCTTGAAATGTGTGAGAAGGAGGAGGAACTGCTTACCCATGAGATGTGGTAGTTGCTGTAATATACATGCAAACAGCTTGGTACAGGAGGGTGGACGAGATGGCCTTTGGGCTGATCCTTAAAGGATAAGCTGAATTCTTCCATTTCAGAGAGGAGAGTAAGGTGCTTTAGGTAAGGATGTGTGTGCCCTGGGACAGAGTGCATCAGGAATTTAAAATAGCTGGTGCGTGGAGGAAAGTAGTGTTTGCTGGAGTCTAAAGCAGAGATCTCCAGATTTGATTCAGTTGACCATCAGTAAGAGACTTGGGCATATACGCCTGTGTGTTCTGTGCATGAGTTATGTATGTATGTGTACATGCTTAGCTGCTCAATCATGTCAGACTCTGAGACCCCATGGACTGTAGCCCACCAGGTTCTTCTGCCCTAGGAATTATCCTGGTAGAATACTGAAGTAGGTTGCCATTTCCTCCTCCAGGGGATTTTCCTGACTCAGGGATCAAACCCACGTCTCCTGGGGCTCCTGCATTGGCAGGCGAATTCTTCACCACTGAGCCACCTGGGAAGGCCCAAGTTATGTATGTATAGCAATTGTTATAATATACATATTGTAAATTCAGAATACTTTATAATGTCATTAAAAACTAGTTCTAATATGCTGGTTTCTCAGCAGATTATATTGTGTAACCTGCTTTGGAAATTGCTGATTAGATCATTAAAGTTTTTACAGGTATGTGAGCTAATGTATTTTTAGTCCTTTAGTGTATGATAAAGAGGTCTTTAAAAGTGTCGTGTCATTAGATTTGTCTTTCTAGGAAGATTGCTATGGAACAAAAATGTTTAGAGGCTGAGAAAACTCAGAAAAGGCTTATCCTGACTTAAAGCAGAATGATTTAATTGTAAATAATCTGCCCCTCTTTAGAACCTTAGGTAGTCTCCCTGAATTGAATGTCAAATCCAAGCTCATTACCCTTCAGTCACAATGGGCGTCTTTTAGTCCTGCAGATGAGCCAAGCTCTCAACACATAGTCACGAGCTGTTCACTCTTGTCTGAAGAGTGGTCCCACCTAACCTTCCAATTCCTAGTCCTCCTGCATCTCACTTTAAATGTTAGCTTTGTCACTGACAGACCTCTTCAGTATGTAAATTAGTTCCTGCTTTCCTCTTTGTAAGAACATTCTTCTTTGTTCCTCGTTAAACTTAAATATTTGTAGTTATGAGTCTGCTGATTCCACAAGGGCTCACATGTCTTGAATGCTCATGGTATGCCAGGCACTTTGTGCTCTGTGTGTATTCGCATTGAGTTGTTCTCAGTTGATCTGTGTGGTATAGGTTGTTATTGACTATTTTACAAGTAAAGACGTGAGTCACAGGTTATGTGATTTGCTCAAGGTCACTTATGTGAAGAAGAGCCAGTCTGGCTCTGATAATAACCTGATGATACTGCTTTCTCCCCTATAGTTGGGGGTGACTGGGTGGAGAACCTTTTATACATGATAATATATTTGATGCCTGACAGATCCTGGCTTACATTAGGTACTCATTTACAGGGTGCCGTTGAAAAAAACGTGGGGAATTGTTGATCATGTGTGGTATGAGCAGTAAAAGAGTAGTTTGGAGATGAATGACTGTTTCCTTAGAGACAGAGTGGACACCACTCATCAAGAATGAAACTATGGGACATAAATGATGTGGTTTAAAAAAAAAAAGATTAAGCTGCATGCAACTGTGGGATGATCCAGGAAGATACAGTAGTGTATGTATAAGATTTACTTAAAGGGCCTGGCATAACGCTTACCGTAAGAGCCCTCTTTCGTAGGTTACATATCTAGATGTGAAAGAACTATTCACCAATATCTTAAGTCTTTTTATAATTAATTCAGTTGAAAGATGACATACTGCATGAAAATAAGTCTACTTCAGTGCTGCCGCCTAGCACAGGAGCCCTTAAGTTCGCTGAAGGTGGGGATATTGCCTTAAGAGGATAGGAAGCTATGTGATTTACCCAGGAGCTTATTTTAGAATCTTAACCAAATCAGTTTAAAGATAGCGTTGTAGAAACACTCAAATATAATTGCAAACATTGAGTATTGTCTTCATGATTATTTCCTCTTAAGAAAAAGGAAAATGACTGGGCGAGCCAGAGCGAGAGCAAGAGGAAGGGCTCGTGGTCAGGAGATGGTGCAGCATGTGGGCGCCTCTGCGGTGAGTATGGCACTCTTGTCTCACTGCAGGGAGAGTCCTTGAGAAACAAACTGGCTAAGCCTTCATCAGCTTAGGCTGTCAAATTAAATTTAAAAACTGTGTCTTGTGAAGGAGGTAGGAACTGAACAAGGAAAATCATGTTCTATGTCGTGTTCTAGGGTATTGGAAGCTGGTTCTTAACTTCACTTGGTAACCCTTCTTGAAGAAATTTCTTCATAAGAATAAGATACTTGATTACTAAATTTCAATCAGTTTGGTTGAATGCCTTAGATTTGTTTGACTAGTTATTTCCTCTGATGTCTTTGACCTTTTGACACAAAGAGAATGCTTTATTTGCATGTAACTGCAGAGTCAGCAGCCTGGTTACCTTCAGCCTCGACCTCAGCAGCCACCTGCAGAGGGGGAGTTAGTTGGCCGTGGACGACTAAGAGGAACAGTAGGAGCAACAGCGAAGTCACAAGGTGAAGGGAGAGGGAAAGGGCTTCTTGTGTGTTTGTCCGTGCGCTTAGCAGTAGATGTGGAGCAGTTACCAAAACTCTGTATAAAGGAAAAGGAGTCCCAGCCTCTCCCTCAGACTGTGCAACCTGCCACTGATTGCAGTGTTTCAGGATTGCTTTTCTTGGAAACAAAAAGAGCAAACACTAGAGCCCCACACGAGCTTTCACAAAGCAGGTAAATTCTAAACTGATTATAAATGCGCTTATTATGCATTAATCAATTTAGAACATTCTCTTGGCTTCTTTAGTGGTTTTATCAAAGCTGTACCAACTTTAGTGTTTGTAACTTTGACTTATAAAATATATTTTCACATGTGTGGTATTGGTTCATCCTGTTTCTCAGATGGAGAGACTGAGGTCAAAGTTGTGACAGCCAGTAGAGTCAGAACGCCTGTTCTGATTCCAAAATTGTGCTTTTTCCCTGCATTGTTGCAAAAACTAATTTTTTGGATGCTTGGTATAGGATTCTAATACAGTTACTAAGTTTGGTTTTAGAATTGGGAAAAAAACAGACTCATATATATATGTAGAGAGTTAATGTAACAATGGCTTTTAAAACCCTGGAATTGGCATGGGAAATGGGCAATAAAAGTGTTGATGCAAATGGAAAACTTGAGAACAAAGCTGGTTCCTTGCTTTATGCCTTGCACCACAATATGACCAAATATTTAGTCATCACAGATGAAATCCATGAAATTTAGAAAACATGAATAAACCTAAGATGAACTTGAAGTACGAATTGAACTATGACAGATACTGTCAGTGTCAAGAGACAACTTGGGAACTTACTGAAATTAGAGAACAGCTCATCTTTCTGATACACAGAGCAGTCTTAGGAATCTGTGATGGGAAAGTGGACAAATGAAAGGGCAAATCATTGAAAAGTGCAAAGGGCAGTGAAAATGCTAAGCCTTACCATTAAGTTTAAATTAAACTGGAGCATTTTTTAATCTAGTTATCCTCTATTTTATTTTTTGCCAGTTTTGGCAATTTTAAAACTGGAACTGTGTTCCATGTAGGATTGTATTCACTTTTAGATGGTGTTTGTAATGTGTAGCAGCATTACACTTTTAGTAGCAGTTATATTCGTGGTAATTTATCCAGACACTGAATAAGTACATGATTGTATAAGACTGTTAACTATATATAAGACTCCAAAACTGGAAAAACCTATTCGGTAAGGGTAAAACCTGCTGTACTTTAATAACAATGGAGTACCATTTAGCCATCTTCAAGAATGTAAAAACTTGACTGAAATGAAAAATGAAAACAAGTTGTAAAACAGCTTTGTATTTTTAGTAAATATGTGGTCAGTTGCTAAGTCGTGTCTGACTCTTTCTGACCCCATGGACTAAAGCCCGCAGGCTCTTCTGTTGACAGGATTTTTCAGGCAAGAATACTGGAATGGGTTGCTGTTCCAGGGATTGAACCCGCTTTTCCTGCATTTCCTGCATTCCAGGCAGATTCTTTATCACTGAGCCATTGGGGAAACCTCCGTGGGCTACATGATGTTTTAATTTTTAAGGTCCTTGATTACAATTCATTCATGGAATTAATCTCCAACTCAATGGACATGGGTTTGGGTGGACTCCGGGAGTTGGTGGTGGCCAGGGAGGACTGGCGTGCTGCGGTTCATGGGGTCGCAAAGAGTCGGACACGACTGAGCGACTGAACTGAACTGATCGAATCACTTTCCCTGAATGTCTCAATCTTTTTTTAAAAAATTACCCATTTAATCCAAAAAGTGAACAGAGATACAGTCTGTTCTATTAGAATAAATATATCACATTATAAATGTTTCTGATAATAGAAACATAAGGTTGCATGAGTTTCAAATATATAAGCCGAGTAAGAATTCTATATCCAGCATTATAGCAGGATATATATCCTCCAACTAAATACCTTTAATGTGCTATATTTTTAAAATACCTTTTAAAATTGTCTGATCTGGCAAGATAGTTGGAAAATCTTCAGAGGCCAAAAATGACAAGAATAAATCCAGAGTGGGAATCAAGTGCTGAAACCAGTGACTCCATAAAAAAACCTCCAGGTCACTTGCTTTTATTACATTTTCCCTAAACATTCTCTGTATTGATCTTCACTAATATATTTTTTTAACAATGACTCATGAATTCCATGAAACTCAGTTCCCTATCTATATAAAGGTATATACTTTTAAAGATAAGGGCCATTGTGAGGATTCAGTGATACTCAGGGTAATGCAAATCCCTGTTTTACCTTTCCCTGCTCTTGTAAGTATTACATCTGAAAAATGCTTCTCACAGTAAGCGTTCAAGTATCCACTGTGTTTTAGAAATTAAAATGACAGCCTTAACAGATTTATCACTAATGAGACATTAAGACCTTGAGTTTTCACTCTGTAAAGTGGGATATGGTGACATGGGAGGACTCTTAAATAGACGAATAGCATGTCCTGATTTGTGTTTTTAATAAATCATTCTGGCAGCTGCATGGAAGGGAAGCAAAGTTTCCAGTTGTATCCCTTTTTAAAAATATTTATTTATGTAATTAGATGCTAATTACAATATTGTGGTGGTTTTTACCATACACTGACATGAATCAGCCACAGGTGTGCATGTGTCCCCCTGTCCAAAACCCCTTCCCACCTCCTTCACATCCCATCCCTCTGGGTTGTCATGGTGTACCAACTTGGAGTGCCCTGATGCATGCCAACTTTGCATGCATCGAACTTGGACTGGTCATCTGTTTCATATATGGTAATATACATGTTTCAATACTATTTTCTCAAATCATCCTACCCTCACCTTCTCCCAGAGTCCAAAAGTCTGTTCTTTACATCTCTCTCTTTTGCTGTCTTGCATATAGGGTTGTTGTTACCATCTTCCTAAATTCCATATATATGTGTTAATATACTGTATTGGTGTTTTTCTTTCTGACTTACTTCACTGTGTAATAGGCTCCAGTTTCATCCACCTCGTTAGAACTTACTCAGATATATTCTTTTTTTATAGCTGAGTAATATTCCATTGTGTATATGTACCACAACTTTCTTATCTATTCATCTGCTGATGGACATCTAGGTTGCTTCCATGTCCTAGCTATTGTAAACAGTGCTGCAATGAACATTAAAGTACACATGTCTCTTTCAGCTCTGGTTTCCTTGGTGTGTATGCCCAGCAGTGGGATTGCTGGGTTGTATGGCAGTTCTGTTTCCAGTTTTTTAAGGAATCTCCACACTGTTCTCCATAGTGGCTGTACTAGTTTGCATTCCCACCAACAGTGTAAGAGGGTTCCCTTTTCGCCACCCTCTCCAGCATTTATTGTTTGTAGACTTTTTGATAGCAGCCATTCTGACTGGCGTGAGATGGTACCTCATTGTGGTTTTGATTTGCATTTCTCTGATAATGAGTGATGTTGAGCATCTTTTCATGTGTTTGTTAGCCATCTGTCTTGTTTGGAGAAATGTCTGTTTGGTTCTTTGGCCCGTTTTATGATTGGCTCATTTGTTTTTCTGGTATTTTGCTGCATAAACTGCTTGTATATTTTGGAGATTAATTCTTTGTCAGTTGTTTCATTTCCTATTATTTTCTTCCATTCTGAAGGCTGCCTTTTCACCTTGCTTATAGTTTCCTTCATTGTGAAAAAGCTTTTAATTTACTTAGTTCCCACTTGTTTATTTTTGCTTTTATTTCCATTACTCTGGGAGGTGGGTCATAGAGGATCCTGCTGTGGTTTATGTCAGAGAGTGTTCTGCCTCTGTTTTCCTCTAGTTTTATAGTTTCTGGTCTTACATTTAGATCTTTAATCCATTTTGAGTTTATTTTTTGTCTATGGTGTTAGAAAGTGTTCCAGTTTCATTCTTTTACAGGTGGTTGACCAGTTTTCCCAGCACCAGTTGTTAAAGAGATAGTCTTTTTTCCTTAGTATATTTTTGCCTCCTTTGTCAAAGATAAGATGTCATAGGTATGTGGGTTCACCTCTGGACTTTGTTTTGTTCCACTGATCTGTGTTTCTGTCTTTGTGCCAGTACCACACTGTCTCAGTGGCTGCAGCTTTGCAGTGTGGTCCGAAGTCAGGCGGGTTGATTCCTCCGTTCTATTCTTCTTTCTCCAGTTGTATCCCTTTTAACACATCTTTTAGATTGACAGTTAATCAGAGTTTGACTAAAGTATTAATAGTGGCAGTACTATATGTGCAGAGGGTAGCAGACTTCATTATTGTTTATTTTCAGAAACTTGCAGTTAGGTTTTCATTTCCATAACTAACATTTTTTTCAAGAGAAACTCAAAATTTTCAGAGAAGAATTCAAATTAAGCATTTATGACCAGTTGTTGCTATCAGATTAGATTCAGTATACCTGATCTTTGTTAGTGTGGACACCTTAAGCTAAAAGTCTTTAGTATAAAAAGTTCACCAGGGGTTTATTCAGTGGCTGAGTCATGTCTGACTTCTGCAACCCCAGGAAGTGTAGCCTGCCAGCTTCCTCTGTCCGTATAATCTCCCAGGCAAGAATATTGGAGTGGGTTGCCATTTCCTTCTCCAGCGGATCTTGCTGATGTGTCTCCTGCATTGGCAGGTGGATTCTTTACCACTGAACCACCAGGGAAGCCGCCAGATACTGAAAGATTTTAAAATGTAGAGACACAGACAGACACTAGGGGGGCGGGGTACGGGAGGTGGGGCTGGGGGTGGGATAAGCTGTGAGATTGAGGTTGGCATGTCTGTCCTACTGTGTACAGAGTAGATAATGAGAAATGAGAACGTGCCATAGAGCACTGGGGACTCGGTGCTCCGTGGGGACAAGGAGGGGATGTGTGTGCACATAGAGCTGATTCACTTTTCTCTACAGCAGAAACTAGCTCAGCGTTGTAAAGCAACTCAATTCCAATTAAAAAAAACTAAGATAAAAAAGGCTTAAAAGTAGAGCCCCTGAAAATCTTGAGGCACAAGAACCAGCATATTTAGCAGTACTTTTAAAGTGCTTTATAAATGAAGTTCTTACTTAAAACTTACCACATTCCAGTAAAAATTTGTTATAATCAATTTTTCAGGTGTGGAAATTGAAGCTCATATTAAAATAACTTGTTTACAAGATATATCAGGAGCCGATATATTTTGTGTAAGCTACATTACTTCTCTTTGAGAAGCTGGCAATTCTAAGCTGATTTTAGCATTTGTGATTAGAAGAGAACTGGTCTCTCTTATCTTTTTATTCTCCCAAGTCCATGACTTCTGTCACTAAGACTTATGTTTTGCTCAGAATGTCTGCTTGGGCTCCCTCTTGCTTGCCATCACATCCAGATTTCAGGCAAGACTGGCAGCTAGGGGCGTGGAGAATATAAAAGCCAGCTATTAATACCCTTAAGGTGCTTTACCAGAAGTTTCATTCGATAATTTCTGCAAAAGTCTCTTAGGCCATCCTTACATGCAAGGAAGGTAGAAATTTTAGTCTATTAGGTATGTGTGTGCACTCAGTCACTCAATTGTGTCCAACTCTTTGTGACCACATGTACTGTAGCCTACCAGGCTCCTCTGTCCACAGAATTTCCCAGGCAAGAGTACTGGAGAGGTTGCCATTTCCTACTTCAGGGAATCTTTGCAACTTAGGGATCAAACCCTTGCCTCCTGCATTGGCAGGCAGATTCTTTACCACTGTGCCACCTGGGAATGCCCTATTAGGTGTGTTACTTCCTAAATAAAACTTTTAAAATAAGAATGAAATATTGTTTATTGTGTAGTCAGTAGTCTCTGCTACATAAGGTAGCATGCATGTTAACTGAAAGCTAGAATTTAACACTTGTCTGTATAGCTTGTATTCGTTCTTTGGTCCACATCATACTAGTTATATGAGGTGTACTTCATTATATATTTTATATAAATTAAAAGACTTAATAATTTGGATATTTTAACCACAGTTTTTGCAAGTAACCATGTACTGATGGTTAACCTACCCCAGTAGATGTGTATCATGGTCACAGGATATGCACAGGCTTATCCCATCCACTCTGCTGGTTTTTAAGGGAATTGGTGAGGAAATCGCATTTTAAACTTCAACATTTTCTAATTCAGGTAGCACATTTAAATTTTATAAACTGCCAATTCTTACAGCTATAATTACATCATAAAAGTTGTGAAAAATACTGATACTAAGGCCCTTAGGTGGTATTATACCTACAGACAGAAAAGTAACTACCCAATCAGCAAATGTATTTTCCTAAGTTCTTGGATCAGTCCAGTCATCTTGACCTTGTAAAGGCATATATGTCCTGTGAGGGAGCTGAGTTTGCCTTGGGTGGTGACGAGAATGGCTTCGTGGAAGAGGTTCGAGCTGAGAAATTACTCTTTGGTTGGCAGACACCTAAAACATCCTGACAGCATTGTTACATACTATCTTTAGCGCCGCAGGGGCCTTTGGGTTTCATGCCTTAGTGTACTTTGGGAATTGCATTTGTCATGCTGCGTATTACTTAGATGTATTTTTTTCTTTGTTATTCTTTTTTTTTTTTTTAAAGAACTCCAGATATCTGCTGGATTCCAGGAGTTATCATTAGCAGAGAGAGGAGGTCGTCGTAGAGACTTTCATGATCTTGGTGTGAATACAAGACAGAACCTAGATCATGTGAAAGAATCAAAAACAGGTAGGTTAATCATTAAGAATAAGTTTCATGAGATTACTTTTCAAGTACACAGGACAGTAAATTGAAGCACTTTCACTTAAGTTTTATTTGTAGGACGAATTGCTCTGCTGATTCAGCGTGTTTGTTCAAAGACTTTGCATGGGTGCTTTTTCCATTTTCCTCTCCTTTTTGGTTTTGAAATAGGTCATAGATGTTTTCAGCTGCACTGCAATGTTTTGATACATATCACGTAGATCACTTTTCTCTTTTAAAGCTTTTTGCTATAAAGATTCCATTGGTTCAGTTGTCAATTACTTTAGGGATAATTCTTTTCTGAATCGGTGCTTCTAGTAATTTATGTAATTAGAATAGTAATCCCCAAAGTCAGATGTCTGAGAACTTGTGTTGTCTGCTGCTCTTAGCCCTTTGCTTACAGAACTGCATTTCCTTGGCATGACAGTGAAGATTTCAAGGAAGCATAAACTTGATATATCATTAATTGAATGTGACTTGACTTTTACAGGTTCTTCAGGTATTATCGTAAGGCTGAGCACTAACCATTTCCGATTGACATCCCGTCCCCAGTGGGCCTTGTATCAGTATCACATTGACTATAATCCGTTGATGGAAGCCCGAAGACTCCGCTCAGCTCTTCTTTTTCAACATGAGGATTTAATTGGAAGGTGTCATGCTTTTGATGGAACGATATTATTTTTACCTAAAAGACTACAGCACAAGGTTATTTCAGTTGTTGGAATGGGGAGAGGGAAATGGGGATTTCCACCTCAAAGCCAAACTGCAACATTCTAGGACAGCTTTAGAGAAACCCCAGTGGTTCCTGTCTGTTAGGATTTATAATGCCCCCAAAGGGTGTTTTGGCATTATTGTATCATTCTCAGATCTACCTGAGTGACTTAATTATTATAATCAAGTAGTAATAAGGCAGTTAAAATCATTTTCTCATACCTGTCATTTCTCATTCTGTCATTTCTCATAGCCATTCTTTTTTTTTTTTAACTTTTCTAAATTTTCATGAGCTTGATCTTGATGGCTCAGATTGTTGCCTTATTCAACAGGCTTATGTGATTGGGCTTATTTTAACAAAAGTTTGGTTTTCCACCACTCTGGCTTCAGGTTACTGAAGTTTTTAGTCAGACTCGAAATGGAGAGCATGTGAGGATAACAATCACCCTGACAAATGAACTCCCACCTACGTCACCAACTTGTTTGCAGTTCTATAATATTATTTTCAGGAGGTATGTTAGTGTTTTTAACATTTTAATAAGAAATTTTAAACATAGAAGTTGAAAGGCATGTACAGTAAGTACTTGTATACTCAGTACCTAGATTTGACAGTGATCGGTTGGGTTACTCTTGAGTTTTAATCATTTTTAGGTGTGATATACTGATATAAATCTCATTTATTTGCTTTAAGCAAGTGTCATGTCTTTCACTTCCTTATTTGTGTTGAGATTAGATCTCTTAAATCGTATTTGAGCTTATATTAAGAACACACAGCCTCTCAGAGGTCTATCACTAACCTTACATTCCTTCTCTCCCACAGTGGGTACCAGTTCAAAAAACAGGGCAGGATTTAGGTCTATTCAGATTTACTTCTTCCATCATAGGACATATACTGCACGCTCTATAATTTGCTTTCAGTGTGGATACTCTTTTTTTCCAAATCCAAAATTAGGACACATGTTTTATGAAGACTGACCTCTATCCCCCTGCTGAGTGGGAAGCAACCTGGATGAGACTGAAATTGGTATGAGAATAGTGAGACATAATACTGGGGTTTGTAATTTACCCTTTTAAAGTGGTCATAAGAAAAAAAAAGTGGTCATAAGAAATCTACTGATTGATTCATCTTGGTAGATGTTTACTTGAGTTAAGGTAATAGAAGATTGACTTTTTTGTAAATGATGGGTTGGCAAACTTTTTTTTGCAAAGGGCCAGATAGTAAACATTTTAGGTTTTGCAAGCCATCTTATCTGTATCTCAACCATTCTACTTTGCTGTTGAAGCAGAAAAGCAGTCATTGAGCATATATGATTGTGGCTGTGTTCCAGTGATGGACACTTTACTGATGGACACTGAAACCTGAATTTCGTATAATTCATGCATCTTTATGCATTATTCATAGTTTTGATTTTTTTCTAGACCTTTAAAAGCTGTTTTAAAAAAATAGCTCTTAGGCCATACAAAAACCAGCAGGTAGGCTGGATTTAGCCCACCTACAAGCCATAGTTTGCCAACCTCTGTTGTAAACAATATGCCATTCTAATTGTAGTATGGGATATTTATCAGTAGTCATTATTCTGACTTTTCAAATTCTAGGCTTTTGAAGATCATGAATTTGCAACAAATTGGACGGAATTACTATAACCCAAGTGACCCAATTGATATTCCAAATCATAGGTTTGTATAAATTTGGGAAGTTTCTAGTTTATAGGTTTAATCACAGGCTTTGAAAGTGATGCTCTATTTTGAAATGATCAGATTTACTATGGCTGTTAGTGGTACCCATCATATTAAATGAACATTTAACTTGGTTTGAACAATAAAGGAGACATCCCAGAATACCTGGAGCTTTAAAGATCATATGATATTTACTTGTCACAGGGAAAAAGCATAGAGTTTTCCAACACAAAGTTTATATTTGCTCTTCAGTTGCACAGTCATGTCTGACTCTTTGCAACCCCACAGACTGCAGCATGCCAGGCTTCCTTGTCCATCACCAGCTCCTGGAGCTTACTCAAACTCATGTCCATTGAGTTGGTGATGCCATCCAACCATCTCATCCTCTGTCGTCCCCTTCTCCTACCTTCAATCTTTCCCAGCATCATGGTCTTTTCCAGTGAATCAGCTCTTCACATCAGGTGGCCAAAGTATTGGAGCTTCAGTTTCAGCATCAGTCCTTACAATGAATATTCAGGGCTGATTTCATTTAGGATTGACTGGTTTGATCTCCTTGCTGTCCAAGGGACTCTCAAGAGTCTTCTCCAACACCATAGTTCAAAAGCATCAGTTTTTCAGCGCTCAGCTTTCTTTATGGTCCAGCTCTCACATCTCTACATGCTTACACATCCATACATATACATATTTGCTCTTAGGCAACAAAAGCTCATCACCTAATGATTGCTTCAAAAGTCACTGCAGTGTATCAGGATATACACTCAAATGGTTTAGGTTTATTTATAATAATTGTAGATATTCTCAATTAGATTTTTCAAGTTTTTAGACCAATATAAAAATTAAGTAAAGTTAGTATATTAATTTAAAATGGAAATTATAATGTTATTATGAAATAACATTCATTGTTGGAGATCTTAAAAAAGATCAGTATTTATCTGGAAAAGATAAACTATAAAGGATAAAAATAAGTAAATTTGCTGAAAGACTTGTCCTCTTGACCTAGCTAGCACAGGTGAAAGCAGCTGGTTACGCCCAGCACGCTGGGCCGGTCGTGGGCGTTGCTCCGTGGCTTTTGCTCTCTTTGACAGGTTGGTGATTTGGCCTGGCTTCACCACTTCCATTCTTCAGTATGAAAACAACATCATGCTCTGCACTGATGTCAGTCACAAAGTCCTCCGAAGTGAAACCGTTTTAGATTTCATGTTCAACTTGTTTCATCAAACCGAAGAGCACAAATTTCAAGAACAAGTGTCTAAGGAACTGATTGGTTTAATTGTTCTCACCAAGTAAGACTCTTTAAGAATGCAAAATAATTTTACAAGTCTTAAGATGTTTCGGCTTTCTAGTCCTAAAATGTTAGTTGGAAAGTAGGGTTTAAGATTGAGAGGTGAGGGTAGCACAGAAATGGAAGGGAAACTTAACAACCTCTCTTAAGACTTAAAAGTTTTGGGGGAATATACTCATATGAAAAGGAGAAATACCAATTATTTCTGTCCTTTTGGTTTTAATTTTATTTTCTAATATTAATTTAGTTACATCCCCATCCTTCTAGATTCAGTTCAGTTTCTCAGTCATGTCCAACTCTGTAACCCCATGGACAGCAGCACACCAGGCTTCACAGAAATTTTTTTCCCTGTTTCTATACTATTGCACATTACCAAATGATTGAAATTTTATTTTTTAGAAAGTGTATGTTGTCTAGTTTTTTCTTTTTAATAACATTTCTACGTGTTTTAATCAAATATTGACAAATCTCAACTGGTCATAGGTATAACAACAAAACATACAGAGTAGATGATATTGACTGGGACCAGAATCCAAAGAGTACGTTTAAGAAAGCAGATGGCTCTGAAGTCAGCTTCTTAGAGTACTACAGGAAGGTAAGACATTAATATTGATTTTTATCTTTTTAATGTGAATTGCTTAGACCTTAGAAATCTGAAATACCGTCAGAAAAATTTTCTAATAGCTAATGAATTCTCTAATACATATGGAACAAGTGGCTCTTAAAGCTGTATAGAAATACATTTATCAAGCCAGTCACAGCATAGTTAGCTCATTAGCAAGTGAGATGTGCTCTTTCCTGGTTCTTTTTCTGAAGTGGATTCAAGATTACATTTGAACTTAATCATGGAGAGGACAAATAAGATAATAGATGATAAAAAGTACAGCTTACCATACTGTCTCATTCTGTAACCAGCACTTTTTCAAAAACTTCATCTGGCAATGGCAGCTCAAGATCTTTGAACCCTTATTATCAGTTGTGATAAATCTTCAAATGGGTTAACTCTTAACCTTTGTCTAACATGTTGACAGAATTCAGACAGACTTGTTTCATGAAGGTTAGATAGTAAGTTCAGTGGTTGATCTTCCATCATCAGTTTGTAAAAGATGATTCTAGCTTTTGGCACAGTGATCACTAAATTGAAAAAGACACCAGAGACAAATAATATTAAGTTTGTACAAAAGTAATTGTGGCTTTGGACCTTGAATTTCAAGTCATCATCAGTTCAGTTCAGTTGTGTCCAACTCTCTGTGACCCAGTTGACTGCCGCACGCCAGGCTTTCCTGTCCATCACCAACTCCTGGAGCTTGCTGAAACTCATGTCCATCAAGTCAGTGATGCCATTCAACCATCTCATCCTCTGTTGTCCCCTTCTCATCCTGCCTTCAATCTTTCCCAGCAACAGGGTCTTTTCCAGTGAGTCAGTTCTTTGCATCAGGTGGCCAGAGTACTGGAACTTCAACATTAGTCCTTCCAATGAATGTTCAGGGCTGATTTCTTTTAGGATTGACTGGTTTGATCTCCTTGTTGTCCAAGGGACTCTCAAGAGTCTTTTCCAACAGCACAGTTCAAAAGCATCAATTATTTGGCACTCAACTTTGTTTATGGTCCATCTCTCGCATCCATACATGACTATTGGAAAAACCATAGCTTTGACTGAACAGACCTTTGTCAGTAAAGTAATGTCTCTGCTTTTTAATATGCTGTCTAAATTTGTTATAGCTTTTCTTCCAAGGAGCAAGTGCCTTTTAATTTCATGGCTGCAGTCACCATCTGCAGTGATTTTGGAGCCCAAGAAAATAAAGTCTGTCAGTGTTTCCATTGTTTCCCCATCTCTTTGCAATGAAGTGATGGAACTGGATGCCATGATCTTTGTTTTTTGAATGTTGAGTTTTAAGCCAACTTTTTCACTCTCCTCTTTCACTTTCATCAAGAGGCTCTTTAGTTTCCTCTTTGCTTTCTGACATAAGGGTGGTGCCATCTGCATATCTGAGCTTATTGGTACTTCTTGTGGCAATCTTGATTCCAGCTTATGCTTCATCTAGCCCAGCATTTCACATGATGCACTCTGCATATAAGTTAAATAAGCATGATGAGAAGATACAGCCTTGACATACTTCTTTCCCAATTTGGAACCAGTCTGTTGTTCTATGTCCAGTTCTAACCGTTGCTTCTTGACCTGCATACAGATTTCTCAGGAGGCAGGTCAGGTGGTCTGGTATTCCCATCTCTTGAAGAATTTTCTAGTTTGTGAGCCACACAAAGGCTTTAGTGTCAGTGAAGCGTAAGTAGATGTTTTTCTGGAATTCTCTTGCTTTTTCTATGATCCAGTGGATGCTGTCAGTTTGATCTCTGGTTCCTATACCTTTTCTAAATCCAACTTGTACATCTGAAAGTTCTTGGTTCACGTACTGTTGAAACCTGACTTGTCGAATTTTGAGCATTACTTTGCTAGTGTGAAAGATGAGTGCAATTTTGTGGTAGTTTGAACATTCTTTGGCGTAGCCTTTCTTTGGGATTGAAATGAAAACCGACCTTCTCCAGTCCTGTGGCCACTGCTGAATTTTCCAAATTTGCTGGCATTTTGAGTGCAGCACTTTAACAGTATCATCTTTTAGGATTTGAAATAGCTCAGCTGGAATTCCACCACCTCCACTAGCTTTGTTCAAAGTGATGCTTCCTCAGGCCCATTTGACATTGGACTCCAGGATATCTTGCTCTCAGTGAGTGATCACACCATCGTGGTTATCTGAGTCATTAAGATCTTTTTTGTATAGTTCTCTGTGTATTCTTGCCACCTCTTCTTAATATCTTCTGCTTCTGTTAGGTCCATACCGTTTTTGTCCTTTATTTTGCTCATCTTTGTATGAAATGTTCCCTTGGTATCTCTAATTTTCTTGAAGAGATCTCTAGTCTTTAATAACTAGGCTCCAACACATCTGTATTAACCAAAATAGGGAGCATTCCAATCAGCACATTTTTGCCAATGAGAAATAAGTTTGTTTATTCCTATAGTGTAAAAATCTGTGCTTCAGGATTAGATGAACTCTTGGAAAGTATTTTCTGCCTTCTGCTGGTTGTGGAAGCATTTTGCCTATAGAAAGTTGTCAAGATGCTTGAAAAAGTGGTAGTCAGTTGGCACGGGGTCAGGTGAATATTAGCGGATGAGGCAAAACCTTGTAGCCCAGTTGTTTCACCTTTTGAAGCGTGGATTATATGATGTGAGGTTAGGCATTGTCGTGGAGAAGCGGGCCCGTTCTGTTGACTAACACTGGCTGCAGACTTGCAGTTTTCTGTGCATCTCAGCAATTTACTGAGCATGTAATGTTTCCACTGGGATTCAGAAAACTGTAGTGGATCAAACGAGCATCAGATGACCAGAAAAAAGGTGTTTTTTGGCGCAAGTTTGTCTTTGGGAGGTGCTTTGGAGCTGCCTCTCGGTCTCAGCACTGAGCTGATTGTCTCCAGTTGTATAAAATCCACTTTCGATATTGTTGCATAGAATGATAGAAGACAATTCAAAACTACTCTTTGGTTTGCAGCCGGCTTGTGAGGCACCCGTTTATGGAGCTTTTCCACCTTTCCAGTTTGCTTCCAATGTAGAATACCATAGAATGGTCGACGTTGAGTTCTTCGGCAGCGTCTGATATGACTGTGAGAGGATCAGGTTCAGTGATGCTCTCAGTTGGTCATTGTCAGTTTCCGATGCCGGCCACTGCTCTCATCTTCAAGTCTCTTGTGTCTTTTGTACAACTTCTGCAGTGTACACTTATCAACAGTTCCTGGGCCAAATGTATTGTTAATGTTGTAACTTGTCTCTGCTGCTTTATGATCCATTTTGAACTAAAAAAAATTTTACTTGAATTTGCTTTTTGTGTAACATTTCTATAGTCTGAACTAAATATAAGCAGCAAGTAATAAGTCATTAGCAAAAAAAACATAAAGCAAGAAATGTACATTAAAATATGTATAACTACATTTATTTAAGAACGTATTCCAATATCAAATGGCAAAGTTCAACAGTGTAAAACTGCAACTACTTTTGCACCAACATAATAGTAAGAAAGAACAGCCACTGACTAGAAGAAAATAAAATGTTTCTATAGGAAGGCATCAGACGTTGTAGTGGTCAGAGATGAGCAGATCTGTCTCCTAAATCCTTAGAAGTCACTTCCCATTTGATGTGCTGTCAGAAGTGCAGGAAAACACATCAATTAAAATTCAAAGCTTGTCTTTGAAGTGCTAAAATTTATATAACTTTTTTCCTACTTTCTGTAGATTATTTCTTTTTTCTAAAAAGTAGAATAAATGAACTATTATGTATATATATATGTATATTTTATGTCAAAAGTATTCATCTGACTGGTGATCTTTGAAATGTCTTTTTGCTGAAAAATCTGTTGCTGCCTGATCTTCAGCTGCTCTCCTGTGAATGAGAAGATCAGATGCCACTCTGGAGGGAAATGATGCCCTAAGAAGTTGCATTAAGAACTGGTCTTACTCTGGCAAAATGAAAACAGGCCAAGGGTCATCTCAGCTTGGTTTCCCTGCTGCTGTTTTTAACCTCTGAAAATCCCCTGTGGACTCGAACTATGTTTGACTTAGATTTCTTCTGAGTGTCAGAGGTTACTGTGACAAACGAGTGCTGGCATTTTTCTGTAGTTCATTTGAATAATCACGATCAGGGATGGGAAGAGTTGGTATACATCAGCAGCAAATACAGAGAGGACACAGTTGAAAGTTGATTTAAACCTGAAGCAAGATCAAGGAAAATTCTCCCCTTCTCTGACTAGTACCGAATCTTACATGCCTGCTTGTTCTTCCACAAGTGACCTTTTAATGTTGACATACTTCAGGGTTCTGCATCAGGTCCCCAGTTGCTATATAGTTACTCTTCAGGTGATCTCCAGTCTGTGCAAAGACTTCAGATATAATAAGTTAACAGTTGGGTGGACTTGAAATATGTGAAAGAAATAAGGCATTCTTAAAACGTCTTAGTGGAAATTCAGTTTTAGTAATAAGTGATGGCTTAAATATTATATTTTTAAGAGATTATCTAGGAAATACTCAGGGTGGGAGAAAAGGGCCTTTGGAAGGGAAGATCATGGTCAGTAACTTCAAAAATCTAATATTAAACAGAAATGAAAGTGCTAGTTCTTCAGATGTAGGGGAAAGTGTTAAAAGAACTGACAGGCTTTCTCTTATGCACTAAGAATATAGAAGAGGGAAATCCCACAGCTCTGTAATTAAGAATTACGCATTTTAAGGCCCTTTGGCGAAATAGAGAAATAGGAATACTTCTGAAATCACTACCACCTTTCTACCTGTATGTATACCCAAGTGAATGATGTGTAAGCAGGGTGACTGTTAATAGATCCCTAATAAAAATAGTATGATATAATAAATAGTACAGATAAGTGAAGCAGAGCATGTTCCACTTAGAATTTTTTTTTCCTTATGATTGGTTAAGAGTTGAGTGTAGGACAGAGTCAATGGAAGCTAAAATTCCTGGTCTCTTACTTCATGATGGTAGGTGGCCAGTACCTTGATTGTATGACAGGAAGAAGGAATGGGCAGGTGCAGTAGTCTTCTGGAGAGAGCAATACTCATGAAATGGCTCTGATGGTACTACTGTCTTGTATGCTTAATGCAGATGTGATTTTGAGAATAAAGTTAGAGCTAAATTATCCAGGACAGTGATGCTAGGAGAGGATACAGGAAATGACAGAGAGGTCTTCAGGAGACAGGGACAGAAGTGCTCTCTAGTGAAGGGAACGCAAGAGGTCTGCTGTGGTCTAGAATTGTAGGGCTGACCTGGAGGCCAGAGACCTGCCTCACACCTGTTAGATCCTAGACATCAACATGTTTGGTCTCTTTACATATTATAAATCTGATCTTAGCGATTATATGTGGGCAGTCTGAAGATGGGGAACCTTAATACTGCTCAGTTGAAATTCAACTGCAAAGTAAACTTTCAACTTTCCCTAATTAACACTGTTCCATAGAGTGCACACATTTTCCCTCCCCCCTTTATTCTTAAAGTGAGACTTCTTTCATGAGCTCATCCTTACTATGAGTAGTTTTAGAGGAATTATGCTGTGGTGAAGACCTGGAGTTACACAGACTACTGTTTCTGAACCAAGAAGTCAAAAAATGAAGTAAATAAAAATGTGACAAAAAGTCAAAACTCGGAGCCTTACCATCCTTGACCATTTACGTTTTTAGGAGAAAAGATGAGTCTATAAATCACAACCTATTTTAGTAGGACCAGAAAAACAGTATGTTTTGCTTGGAAACAACTACCTGCCTTGCTGTTAGCATATATTGCTTAGTTTTAAAAAGTGAAACTTTTTTGTCCATTAACATGTTACTAAAGGCATTTACTGTGAACAGCGATATCTTTCTTCCCTTAAATAGCAATATAACCAGGAAATCACTGACCTGAAGCAGCCGGTTTTGGTCAGTCAGCCTAAGAGGAGGAGAGGCCCTGGCGGCATCCTGCCAGGTCCGGCCATGCTTATCCCAGAGCTCTGCTACCTCACAGGTATGCTGCGCTGTCTGCGGCGGGGAGGCCGCCACGCAGTCCCCGTTCTGTTCCAGAAGCCTCAAACGTTCCTTACCGCACCCACCCACCCCCCACCCCGCCCTTGAAACTGGTTTGGCTCCTGGGAATTCTTTGACTCACCGCCACCCTACATTCCATATAGTTAGACACGACTCTTGTTTCTTTAACTGCATAGTTTTATTCTGTTTAAAGGTTTAACTGATAAAATGCGTAATGATTTTAATGTGATGAAAGACCTGGCTGTTCATACAAGACTAACTCCAGAGCAAAGGCAGCGTGAAGTCGGAAGACTGATTGATTATATTCATAAGTAAGTCATCTATGCTTTACTGGGGTATGTTTTCAGTTCTTTATTTTATGTGGGTTTGGAGGAGTGACTTTCTGGGGGGAATGACAGAAAGTAATTTTGTTTTTATTTGTATTCTCAGTATTCAGGGTGGGTTCTTTGTGTTTCTAAGTGAGGCTACTATTTGTCAGGGAATAATTAGCTCAGTTAGTGAAGAATCACCTACGGTGCAGGGGATCTGGGTTCGATTTCTGGGTCGGAAAGATCTGCTGGAGAAGGGATAGGCTACCCACTCCAGTATTCTTGGGTTTCCCTTGTGGCTCAGCTGGTAAAGAATCTGCCTGCAATGCTAGAGACCTGGGTTCAGTCCCTGGTTTGGGAAGAGCCCCTGGAGAAGGCAAAGGCTATGCACTCCAGTATTCTGGCCTGGAGAATTCCATGGACTGTACATGGGGTTGCAAAGAGTTGGACATGACTGAGTGACTTTCACGTTGTTAAACCTTGTAGCCCATGGTATTTATAATTTTAGAAAAAGAGAATAAAGTAGAAAGTGAAATGGTTACAGCACTGTGTTTACTTTGAGGAGGAGATAGTTTGGGCATCAGAATTTTAAATTGAAGGATGTTGTGAAGGGAAGCATAGAAAACATTAAAAAAGAAAAACATTATATTTCTGTGTTTCCTAGCATTCTCACCAGCATTTCAACCCTGAAAGAAACATTGACATTTTTTACAGGTTGCAGTGGGTCTCTATTTGCTTGTGTATATTAGTTTTTGCTGTTTCCTTACATTTAGTGATAAGCAAATACGTTAATTTGCAGAGATGATAATGTGCAGAGGGAGCTTCGAGACTGGGGTTTGAGCTTTGACTCCAACTTACTGTCCTTCTCAGGAAGAATTTTGCAAGCAGAAAAGATTCATCAAGGTGGAAAAACAGTAAGGCAGTTCTTAAAAGTTGTCAGTGAAATCAGGTTTGGTTCAGAGTCACAATAAAGCAAGCACGAATAACCTAATTCCATGCCAGTGTAGTCCTTTCCTCTTTTCCCTGACCCACATCCTCTCTTTGTCGACTGATATGAATACAGGAGGAGGAAATGTGGGAACACTCAAGAAGGCGAAGCCTGTAGCTTGTCTTCAAAACCATCTGTGAGACTGAGGTAAAAGGTGGCTTAATTTTTTAAATAACCTGGATTTTTTAAATTGAGGTATAGTAGAAGTCTCTCTCTTTTTTTTTTTTTTTAGAAGTCTCTTAAGTATCTAATTGGGTTGATATTTTGTCTGCCACTACAGTGAACTTTTACATGGAAAACTCCCAGTTTATTTAGCTTCATTTTTGCCTGGACCATTTGTTCGCTAGGGATATATGTATTTGCGTACACACACACATATATGGATGTATGTATTTATATATATATATATGAAATATTGTGATACCTTTTATATCTTATCTCCAGAAAAGGAAAGCAAGTATTCCAAAATATGTTTTTGTGTAATTGAAACACTACAAGTACTAAAATTTTAAAAATCCTTTTATAGAAAGCTGTGCTCTTCTGTTTTTGAAATGTTCTAATCATGTAGCTTAATATTTTAATTACTATTGCTTTGTTATCCTTTGTACTAAATATATATTCTTGTATAAGAGTTGCTTGGGAGGGAGGTAGGACATGTAAAAAGCAGGCTTTTTCCTCTGTGATCGATATAGGGCACTGTACTTTTGAGTTATGTGTTAGCTTTCTGCCCTACTGTTAGATGTTTTCATAGCTTGCCTTCAGTATCTGACACCTCAGTCATAAAGTCACTTAACTTTCAAGGCCTGGTTTTTTTATATCTATATCATAAGGTAAATAGCACCTATCCTTGTAAGATTTTATAAAAGATTAAAAAAAGAGCTACAGCTTAAGATAACTGTTACAGGCAGGTGAGCACTTGAGTGGCAGCTGTTAATATGAATGTATTTTAAATAAAATTGCTGTAATCCTTTGAATACATTTTTCTTTTTCCTCACTTAGAGCATTTTGTCTATGACTGCAGTTCAAATTTAAAAGCAGTACTTTGAGATTTAGACTGTGCCATAGAAGAATTATTGAAGAATTTTTGGCTTTATCCCTGAGAACTTACAATGGAATTTACAGTGTCTCTGAACTTTCTTCTAGTTTGATTACAATCCACAGTTTGCAGATTGGTCAAAAGAAACAAGAGGTGCACCATTAATTAGTGTTAAGCCACTAGATAACTGGTTGTTGATCTATACTCGAAGAAATTATGAAGCAGCCAATTCGTTGATACAAAATCTATTTAAAGTTACACCAGCCATGGGCATACAAATGAAAAAAGCAATAATGTAAGTTTATCAAGTCATTTCTACCCTGAAAATTGACTTATAGTCATTTGGAAGGTGGGAACTCAAACTGTTAAAAACTATTAAAAACATTAGATTATCTTAATTTAAAGATCTGATAAAGTTCCTTGTAGGGTGGATACAGAAATGTGTTCGAATCAGTAAGAATTGAGTGGGACAAAAAATGGACTATTTCTCAGACAATTGCTGTTGGGTGTGTTAGAAATCCTTTTGACTGCATGGCTACTCCTGGTGTTATATTTCATATTTTACCCAGAAGTGTTGCTTGTGTTATAATCTGTGGGAACCTTTTAACACATAATACATTTTTTTGGTTAACTTTTTCTGAATGTTGAATTACGTATTTCTATTCTAGGATTGAAGTGGATGATAGAACTGAAGCCTATTTAAGAGTCTTACAGCAAAAGGTTACGTCCGATACCCAGATAGTAAGTAGCTAGTTGATATGTAGGCAGTTGACCTGGAATCAGTTGTTGTAAATGGAGCATTGGTAAACCTTTGAACTTGAATTCAGTGTTAAAAATGTTATATTTAGGTTCCCAAACCAGTCATAAAATACATATTTTACCTTCCTAAGATAGCTCAGTCAATGCTGCCTGTAGTTGTGTGCCTAGGAGCTTATGCACTGCAAATGGTAAGGAAGGGATGGAAGAAAACAAAGCCATCTTAAATTTACCCAGACTCAAATGCTCTAATTCTGGAAAATTTCAGGGAGGGAGTGGGGAGGAGAAAAGGCACAAGAGCAGAAGTGAGTATTTGTTCAGCACATGTGGTACAATTAGTATATTTGTAGTTACACTACGTATAATCAGTAAGGCGGCAAAGACACATTTAATGAAAAACAATATACCTGTATTGCGTTAGGCCTAAGAAATGAGTTGGTTTCTTCTAATGGATTCCTTTTAGTCCTTTGTCTCATACTTAAATGCCACAGGCAGAGTGCTATTAGGTTGTCTTGAAATATAGAGACACCAAGAGTAGGGAAATTATTTTCTTGGGGGCTATGGCAAGAAAAATAAGAATCTGGGAATATAAATTAGGGAATACAGCAGTAAGTTAGAGTTGGATTCAGCTCCAGAACTTAAATCCTCAGAATTTGGGCAAATGTAGGGGGCTTAGTTGGTTGGTTAATTTTCTAGCTTTTTAATGATGTAATTGACATTTAACATTGTGTGAGTTTAAAGTGCACAGTGTGATGATTTGATATATTGTGAATTGATGACCACAGCAGCGTAAGTTAATATCGCCATCATCTCACGTAATTGCAATTCTTCTTTGTATATGTGGTGATAACCTTTAAGATCCACTCTGTTAGCAGCTTTCAAGTATATAATGTATGTATAACTGTAATCACCATGCTACACACTAGATTCTCAAAACTTTTTAACTGGAAATGTGTATCCTTTGACTAACCCCCATTTGGGACAGGAGTCTGTTTAGATCAGTCGCTTCAGTTTCCCCAGAATTGCCCATGAACTTCTAGGAAATTTCATAGTTTGATCATATTCCCAAGCCAGAACTTTGAGAGTTTAAAAGCCATGATTCTAGGTAGGGCATGAGTAAATGAAAATTGTAAGCATTTTAGAAAAGCTTTTTTTTTTGTCCACCTGTAAGTTATCACTAACTTATTTTGCCCTATTCCCTACTTCTAAATTATTCTAAGCTGGTAATAGACCATATTTAACTAACTTCTCAAGTTTTAACGATCCTCAGTTTTGAACTGTTTGCTTAACTTGGTTTCATTCTTAGTATATATTACGTAGTTGGACGTAGTGAGCATTATGGGCGTCCGTGATGGCTCAGCGGTAAGGAACCTCCCGCAGTGCAGGAGACACAAGAGGCACGGGACGATCCCCTGGAGGAGGAAATGGCAACCCACTCCACTGTATCCTTGCCTGAAAAGTTCCATGGACGGAGGATCCTGACGGGCTCCAATCCAAAGGGTTGCAAAGAGCTGGACACGACTGAGCACACAGTTACTCTCAATGAGCATTGTATAAATGTTAATGTCATACTTACTAGCTCCGTGGCGGAGATGGATAGTAAAGTATTAATATCAGTAAACGATTATGTGTCTATGAATCACAGGTGGGTTTAGTTTCCGCTCTTCTTCTTTGAATTATCAGTTTCCTAATTCTTTATAAGGAAGACATTTTGTTTGCTTTTAGGTTGTTTGTCTGTTATCAAGTAATCGGAAAGACAAATATGATGCTATTAAAAAATACTTATGTACAGATTGCCCTACTCCAAGTCAGTGTGTGGTGGCCCGAACCTTAGGCAAACAACAGACTGTCATGGCTATTGCTACAAAGATTGCGCTGCAGATGAACTGCAAGATGGGAGGAGAGCTTTGGAGGATTGATATGCCTGTACGTTTGATTTAATTGGTAGATGTAAGTTTTGTTATTTTAAAAAATGTATTTTTATTGTATTGGCGTTCCATTTTATCTAAAATTACGATGTTCTTGTTAAAGCTGAAGCTGGCGATGATAGTTGGCATTGATTGTTACCATGATACCACAGCTGGACGGAGGTCAATTGCAGGATTTGTGGCAAGCATCAATGAAGGGATGACTCGGTAAGTGGGCTCTGATAGCGGTAGATTAAGTGCTGAACATAGGCGAACAGGACATGAGTGTATGGGCCAGAGTGTGGGGAGTACTGGAATTGTGTTAATTGTTTAATTTGGTTTCTTTTACGTTAGATCCAATAAAATCGTTAGGAAAGAAACCAGTTATTAGCTACTCTAACCATTTTTAATGTCCTTCACTGGTCCTTAATCTGTAGTGGTCACGCTGCATTCTAGGTTATTTCATTATTTGTATTTGGTGAGAGAATGCATCTCTTTAAATGTGACAATCTCTAAAAGCTTCTTTAATAAATTTATTACTTTGAATGTAATTTCAAGTTTCCATGTTAACTTTATTTCGGAAAGCCCACTCAAGTTTACCCAGTCACTTGTATATCAACATAGTGAAATTATTTTTCAGTGCTTTTCTTAGAACTAATAGAATTGCCAAGAATAGGAAGAATGAAAATTGAAGCATTGATGTGTTGGCATTACTGATACTTGGGCGTATTTCAAGGTATTTTATCTTTAAAAAGAGTGTCTTTTACCAGGAGTATAGTAGTAGTAGTATGCTTCTGTGTATTTTGAGGTATAAACCTAGGAGGCATATCTGGCTATTACAACTTAAATTTTATTTCCGCCTCGGTGATGGAATTCTGGGATTGATTTATAATGAAAAAAGAAAAACTTTGTCTATGAGGGATTTCCTGTATCTTGTTAACCTCTGTTTAAGATTTCATCAAGGAAGTTAAAGATAATAAATTGCATAGATATAGAAAAATTCAAAAGTGAAAAAGTTCTGTATGGTTGTGTTCTCACCGCAGTCATTTTTTCTCTGAATAGCTGGTTCTCTCGCTGTGTGTTTCAAGATAGAGGACAAGAACTAGTAGATGGGCTGAAGGTCTGCTTGCAAGGTAAGCCACCTGTTATGTTTCAGTCTGGCCTCCAGACTCCAGTCTTCAAGAAGTTATCTTAAAGCTGTGCTTCTGGGAAAACAAAAGACCAAAAAAAAACCTGTGCCTGGAGTTTGGTAGAAGCACATATTTTTTATTCTGTGTTAATGTATTTAAAACTTTTCTGGTTTTCTTTCAGCTGCTCTAAGGGCTTGGAATAGCTGCAATGAATACATGCCTAGTCGAATTATTGTGTATCGGGATGGTGTAGGAGACGGTCAGCTTAAAACATTGGTGAACTATGAAGTTCCACAGTTTTTGGATTGCCTGAAATCTGTTGGTAGAGGTTACAAGTAAGCATATGACATGTAAAGCGTTTCCTTTTTATATAATTGCATTTTGTATCTTTGAAAATAATGTCACAAGGTGGAAAAGAAAGTGAGAACCTAAGCTTATAGGTTCAGTAGGACTTGAGGTAATGGAAGGGATTGGGGGGTGGGTGTCTCATGGAGACTTGTTTTGTAGAGGAGAGGATAGAAATGTAGAGTGGACGTTGTTTCAAGGAATGACACATGGAAACACCTTCACTGACCAGTCGCTGGCACTTTTCTCTCCTACAGCCTTGAAGTATGAGGGTCTGATTATCCCAATACAGCCATAGGCGTCCACAGCAATGGTTGAAATAAATCTTCCAGATAGTCTTAACGTATTTTTTCTCTACCTCCTTGTACAACAAACACTTGTTTAATTTCTTTGAACTCAGCTGGACTGCTTTTTGGTGGGTAGATGATTGGCATGTGTTTGGTGTCCTAGGAGGACACCGCTACCCTCTGTCTTTTGAGGCGGTCTGCACAGCTGAGGGGAGCTGTACTCATAACTGAATGCTACTCTGGCTCTCCTTTGAGACCTACATTGGTTTTTGCTTTGCTCTCCTACCAAGGTCTTTTGTTGATTCTCTCTGGCAGTAAATTGCATGCCATCTCAAGACAGCTGTTCTAATAAGTTACATTGTTTAATTTTTTGCTGTTTTCTTTCTCCTGTTGTAAGCAAGTTGAGATCAGGGACTGTTGTATTAAGGACTTAGTGCATAATATATTTTGTGGAGTTTATTTTTAAAGATGCTTAGAATATCCAGGAGGTATGTTTGTATGTGCTTGCACAGGCATATTTGTTCAGTTGCTAGATCATGTCCAATGCTTCGTGACCCCATGGACTACAGCACACCAGGCTTCCCTGTCTTTGACTCTATCCTAGAGTTTACTCAAATTCATGTCGGTTGAGTTGATGATGCCATCCAACTATCTCATTCTCTGTCACCCCATTCTTTTATTGCCCTCAGTCTTTCCCAGCATCAGGGTTATTTCTAATAAGTGGGCTCTTCGAATCAGGTGGGTGGAGTACTGGAGCTTCAACTTCAGCACCAGTCCTTCCAATGAATATTCAGGGTTGATTTCCTTGGATTGACTGATTTGATCTCCTTGCTGTCCGTGGGACTCTCAAGAATCTTCTCCAGCACCACTGTTTGAAAGCATCAATTCTTTGGCACTCAGCCTTTATGATCCAACTCTCACATCCGAACATGACTACTGGAAAAACCATAGCTTTGAATATATGGACCTTTGTCAGCAAAGAAATGTCTCTGCTTTTTAATATGCTTTCTAGGTTTGTCATAGCTTTTCTTCCAAGGAGCAAGCGACTTAGTTTTGTGACTGCAGTCACCATCCACAGTGATTTTGAAGCCCAAGAAAACAAAATCTGACACTATTTCCCCTTTCTCCCCATCTTTTTGCCATGAAGTGATGGGAGTAGATTCTATAATCTTTATTTTTTGAATGTTGATTTTTAAACCAGATTTTTCACTCTCCTCTTTCACCTTCACCTAAAGGCTTTTCAGTTCCTCTTCACTTTCTACCTTAAAGTGGTATCATCTGCATATCTGAGGTTCTTTGTATTTCTCCTGGCAATCTAAATTCCAGCTCAGGAGTCATCCAGCCCAGTATTTCTCATGATATACTCTGCATATAAGTTAAATAAGCAGGGTGAACAACATACAGCCTTAATGTACTCTTTCTCAATTTGGAACCAGTCTGTTTTTCCATGTCCAGTTCTAACTGTTGCTTTTTGACCTGCATACAGGTTTCTCAGGAGGTAGGTAAGGTGGTCTGGTATTCCCATATCTTTAAGACTATTCCACAGTTTGTTTTTCTCCACACAGGCAAAGGTTTTAGCGTAGTCAGTGAAGCAGAAATAGATTTTTTTTTTTAAATTCCCTTGCTTTTTCTTTGAGCCAGAGGATCTCTGGATCCAGTTTAACCTCTGGTTCCTCTACCTTTTCTAAATCCAGCTTGTACATCTTAAAGTTCTCAGTTCATGTAGTTGAAGCCTAGCTTGAAGGATTTTGAGCATAATCTTGCTAATGTGAAATGACTTCAGTTGTATAGTAATTTGAATATTCTTTGTCATTGCCTTTCTTTGGGATTGGAATGAAAACTGACCTTTTCCAGTCCCGTGGTCACTGCTGAGTTTTTCAAATTTGCTGGCATATTGAGTGGAGCACTTTCACAGCATCATCTTGTAGGACTGCAATAGCTCTGGAATTCCATCACCTCCATGAGCTTTGTTCACAGTAATGCTTCCTAAGGCCCACTTTACTTCACACTCCAAGATGTCTGGCTCTAGGTGAGTGACTCCACCATCGTGATTATCGGGGTCATTAAGAGCTTTTTGTACAGCTCTTCTGTGTATTCTTGTCACCTCTTCTTAATATCTGCTTCTGCTTCATGCATATTTAAAGACATTATTTTTGCCAAACCTTTTCAGCAGCATTTGTTATCATTGTAGAAAATGAGGATCTTGAAAGTCATTTGACAGTATCTGGGCTCCATGTGATTTATGTGGCCCATGGGATGAGCATTAAGGACTTACTTCTAGCTAAATTGATGGGTACTTCCAAGTCTTTTTTGGCCGAGTTCTGAAAGAACCCCTCTGAGTGTTAAACGTTTCTTAAAATATGATCATTATGCCAGTAAGTTCTCAGAGCAAGTCAGGGATGTTTTTATCTCTTTTGAAGTAATTGAGTTTCAGATTAAAATGCCAGTAGCATTTTAAAATATTTTGTAAATGAACATTAATATTCTTTCCTATCCTCTTAAAATTCTTAATGCTTATATTTTTATTGGTATTTTGTTCTGCTTTGTAAAGTTTTGTAAGTCTTAATTTGTTTTTTTCCTTAGAGAAAGGAAAGTTGCAGGGAAGGAGGATTTAAATTGATTGCTTGTGCTGGTGCATAACCGACCATTGCATGCAGTAGATTTCACATCATGAATTGTGCTGTTATTTGGGGGTTGCAGAAATTAGTGATCAAGGCAATATGTCCTCAAATCAGTTAGGTTGATCCCAGCTTCGCCTTCATCTGTGAAACGGGATGCAACTCGCCAAGGCTGCTGAAAGAAATGTCCGAATGCTCAGTGTGCCTCATACAGTACCCAGTAGGCTCTCAATATATAGTAGGCACTTCATCTAAAAAAAGTTTAGAGTTGCATATGGAGTAAAATAATATCCGAGAATTACCCCTTACTTTTAAGAAACACAGTTTGGACTTTAATATTTGCTGTTATCTTTAGAACCTCAATATATGTTTTTGAATTGAAATGTTGATAATTAGCTTTTTATAAAGGTGTGTCATGGATTAGCTGATTTAGGATGTTTGGTTAAGAACAAATCAAAAAGTCATTTCAACATTCTTGTGACTTTCTCTCACCACATTTGCTAAATCATTTCTTGACATGTCCCAGGACTAAAATCTCCTTTGTGCTTTGGCCCCTGAGACTGTGGCTTTGTAATATGCAGATCTCTTGTTGCTGGGCAGCAGTGGCTCTACATGGGGAAATAGTGATATTTCTAAAAATGTCCCTTGTATATTTGCTTACTGCTACCATGAAGCAGCTGGTTAGGTTTAGCAATGAGTGGAAGTTCCCAACTGGAATCTTCTGGACCATCAGTCTAGACAGTATACTGTGAACTACCTACCTGAGTCAAACATTACCAGGCAGGTCCATACTGTATGTGAGGTCCTCTGCTTTTGTTTTTAGAATAAAGTATATTTGTGCTCTTAAGGAACTAATGTTGTAGCTAGAAAAAGAGCAGAGGAAAGTTGAGGTATTGAAAATCATAATTTGTCAAATGCTTATTATAGCACTAAGTGCTTAATATGTTCTAGTGCATTTATTCCCAAGTGCACATGTGTATACAGTGTGATTGTATCAGACAGTGAATTTGAAATGAACCTTTAAGAGATGGTTGGAAAGGGTGTTCAAGCTCAATACAACCTGCCAGTTAAAGGGCTGTCCTCAGGAGAGCCAAGAAGCTTGTTAGAGGCAGTGAATCTAATGTGACACAAAGCTGAAACCTCACTAGGGGAGAGGAGTATTTAGTCTCGACATAGGAAAGAAGCCACCGGAATGGGGTTGGGAAGGGAGAGAGTGACAGAGAATGTTCTTGTATTGCTAAGGATAAGCTGAGGAGTGATTGAGTGTGAGAGACAGACACAGAGATTCCCTGATACATTGTCAACTAGGATTTTGAAAAGCAGATTAGATTTTGAGACTACTCAAATTAGCTTACTTGTCAAAGATTTTACTTTCCACGGGCTTCCCAGGTGGTGCTTGCTAGTGGTAAAGAATCTCCCTGCCACTGCAGGAGACACAAGAGACATGGGTTTGATCCCTGGGTGGGGAGGGTCCCCTGGAGTAGGAAATGGCAACGCACTCCGGCATTCTTACCTGGAGAATCCCATGGACGGAGGAGCCTGGCAGGCTGCAGTCCATGGGCCTCAGAGTCAGACACGATGGAGCACACTTAGTTTCCATGTAGTATGAAGTGTCCGCTGAAAAGGGTCTCAGACTGTGAATTTAAAGACGTGCTGGGTTTTAACATCTTGGTGAGCTCAGTATGTTACATGCTCAGTTTAATGATTAAAAAGCTACATAATCTTGCCATTTTATTTTCTACTCACAGTTTATTCCTGGTCCTAACTCCAGGTCCTTACAAGTTGTGGAATCTTCCTTCACAACTTGGACAAATAATATACCCAAGAGGGAGATGCATTTCTTTTTTAATGGAGTGTATGAATGTATGAATGATTCAATGCCCTGAAAATATGACTGACTAAATGTAGTTACGTTCATCACCATCTTAAGCCCAAGACTAACGGTAATTGTGGTGAAGAAACGTGTCAATGCCAGATTTTTTGCTCAGTCTGGAGGAAGACTTCAGAATCCACTTCCTGGAACAGTTATTGATGTAGAGGTTACCAGACCAGAATGGTAAGTTCGGTATTAGATGAAGATTGGTTTCTGCTTTGTCTTTTAGTGTAACCTCTATGCTTTATTACCTTTTACCATATTTACTTTTTCGTTCTTATACTTTTATTTCTTATAAATACTAATACTTTTCATTAGTTTGACCTAATGCCTATGATGCATGAACTTAGTGTCTGACATGGTGAGCAGAGGTTTCTCTGCAGTTTCTCTCCGAGGAAAGAGGGTTATCATTTATGGCCTTAGTTATACATACAGAGTTTAAGAAGTGCTGCTGTAGATTGCTGTGGCTTTTTTTTTTTTTTAAACATATGTAACCTCATCCATAGATTCTTGTTTTCCAATCAGAATTTTTAGATCCATAATGTACTTGGTTATCCACAGGTTAGAAAATTCCATCTAAAGTCACAGTTGCAGATGAGAAAAGTGACTTCTGAGTAAACACTAGGGACTCGCAGGTGGCACAGTGGTAAAAATCCACCTGCCAACGCAGGATATACAAGAGAGATGGGTTCGCTCTCTGGGTCAGGGAGATCCCCTGAAGTGGAAAATGGCAACCCACTCCAGTATTCTTGCCTGGAAAACTGTGTGGGCAGAGGAGCCTGGCAGGCCACAGTCCATGGGGTCACAAAGAGTCAGACATGACTGAGCAACTAAGAATGCATGAGGAAACACTGTGGAACTGTGAGCTGCACTCTGCCATAAGAAAGCCAGCTAGAACATTCAGGGCCACGTGGTCGTGTTCTCAGCACACAACCGTTCAACTACAAAGTCATGAAACTTGGTTCCTCAAGTTTCATTTTGTGGGGGATGGAATACAGTGCACTAAGTCATGTTCCTGATGGCAAGGCATTGGTCAGTCCATGGTAACACCCTCCTCATGAGAGTGAATAGGACAGTTTCTGTTTTTATACATAAATTTGTGGAGCCTTTAAAAAAGGGCCGCTTTAATCAAGGTAAGTGTCAGCCTAAGGGGCAAAGTTTAAATGTGGAGCACTTCTCCTGTATGAAACTCAGGTAAATGAGGCATTACTGTACTTAAATTTATGTAGACAAACGATAGTCCAGATTTTAGATCTGCTTAGTCCTGTCACCTGACAGCATATCTAAGTATTTATTTCAAGATTTATTATCTTAGATTGTGTCTTTCTCTCAGGCAGATAATAGTTGTCAGAAGGATTCTAACCTATTGGGAAAAATCACTGAGGGAGGACAAAATGGCTAAGATAATTGACAGTTTCATTTCCTGTAGGACTCTCTTTAATCATTCAGAATGAGCTCATGGTACTTCCTAACATTACTGCTACTCTGACAACCAAACCTTAGGTATAATATTGACCTGAAGACAACTTTTTAAAACAATTTGAGTAAAATCCAAGTTGGATTTTGAAGTATCAAAAACTTGATTACTTTTTACTCAATGTTCTTTAAAACTTAATAGCTACTAGTCTACTCAAATACTTGGAGAAGTCTACTTTGAATGATAAGGTGCTGAAGTTGGGAACTAAGGTTTTGATTCTAGCTCTGTTATGATTTCTCTGTTCTTTTGGGCACATCATTTAATGTTTCTGAAAGCCTCATTTTCCCAGATGACTATAATCTGTTGTAGATCAATTCTGATTTTATAATTTATCTCATTTTAAGGGACATAATAAATTTCTTAATAACTTTATCAGGCTGGATTATAGCATCTCTGCATTGATACTTAATTGGTACCCAAAAAATGAAAACAAAACAAAACTGACATCTATTCCTTTATGTTTGCACTACTTGGTTCTTGATTCTAGAGCCTGTTCCCGCTCAGCTGTCTCCCTTAGATGTGGAGTCGAAACAGTAGCCTGTTACAGCGTGCACTGTCATAATTAGCAGCCGGGTCAAACATTTGTTAATGCCCTTAGACATCAATGATAGATATTTAAAATATTAAAAAAAAGTAGCATCTTAAACCTCTTTCACACATAAGCATTCCAAAACAGTTCATGAATAATAGCAAGTTCTGAATTCAAGGAAGCACATGTTTTGAGGAGATTAGGTTACATTAGTATACAAGATCTTTCCTCTGTAAGAAACTTGAATCATCTGAACTTGAGCTTTGAAAAAGATAAGCCTCATACCCATGTGGTTTTTTTCTTATATAATTCCAGGTATGATTTTTTTATCGTGAGCCAGGCAGTGAGAAGTGGTAGTGTTTCTCCCACACACTATAATGTCATCTATGACAGCAGTGGCCTGAAGCCAGACCACATACAGAGGTTAACTTACAAGCTATGTCACGTCTATTATAACTGGCCAGTAAGTATTTTTTATTAATTATATTTATCCACGTCAGTGAGATTCACTTTTCAAAATGGAATTGCTGTGTTTTCAAAGGCTTTTACTGTTAATACTGAGATTTATAATTTAGAGAAGTTACTTTTAAAGTAATAGAACCTTTTTTTTCTTCCACTAAAGGGTGTCATTCGTGTTCCTGCTCCTTGCCAGTATGCCCACAAACTGGCTTTCCTTGTTGGCCAAAGTATTCATAAAGAACCAAATCTGTCACTGTCAAATCGTCTTTACTACCTCTAACCTACAGAAGACAACAAGATGTGGCTGCGTTTTTCTTTTTGAAATTATATCTTCAGGATTTTTTTTTAAGCTCTTATTTTTTTAACTGTTATCTTTCTAGATGAAGCTTGGGAAGGAAACTAGAAAATCTAGAGTCATTTCTAACTTTGCTATTAACTGACTTATTTCATAGGTAAAAATTAGGATTTACTCTTTTATCTTGTTCTCATAAATGTGAGGATTTTTTGTTTTGAAAAAGTGTGGAGAAGATGCTTTGTACTATAACCAGAATCTCTTAGTAAAACTATTTGAAAAGTAGGGATTTACTTGAAAATGTTCTCAGGAGTAAGCAAGTCCTACTTGTAAAGCTACAGTGGCCTTGTTTTTGAAATACTTAGTTTGAATTTAAAGGAGAGAAAAGGAATAAAGTGGAGGGCTCACTACAATCATAAGGTAGGATTTTACTTGAGTATCTGACTATCTCATTTTATAGGAAAAGCTGCCATTAAATAACCTATACAAGGTATAGGAAAAGTGTGCAGCTATGGAGAAGTATGCTTATATTTTATTTCATTTTGGGGGCTAGGTATTATAGGGGTTAAAAAAGATAGTTGAAAATTTTAAATTTCTGTCCAAAGAAATATTTTAATACTGTTTAATAAAAGAGACCAGTAGTCTATATTAACATTACTATTTTTTTTTTTTTTGCAACTGGGGCATCGTTCCATTTGTTATAAAATAAAATTACAATGATTGTCATCTTATTTGAATAACTGGAGTTTTTATTTTTACTGAAAGCATATGCATTTTCTTTCCGTGTATTATATTTTTTAAACTGCTGAAGAGTATACTCAAAGGGTATGATTCCAGTTATTAAAGCTCAATTAGTGTCACAATGAATCTGAAACTGAAACCTCAGTTTCAGAGTAAAACTCTGTCAGGAAATGCAACCTCAAACTTAACAGTGTAAGACCAGAAATCCATAACTTGAAAGAAAATGTAGACTAAGAAGTCTGTGTATTGTGAAGCTGATAATTGTAATTATTCACAACTATATATATGTAGGAATTTTCAGGGAATTTTGCAAAGAGCAGGCTTGAAGTTAATGAGTTAATTTGCCATGAGAACACCTTTAAACATTGGTTAAAAGTGTAATGAGTGTAAACGTTAGTGGTCGTACACAGGCCGTAGGAACTATGATTTAAACTAATGCCATTCAGTAAAGTTGCTTGTCTTAGCATTTTTGTACTTGTTATCAAATAACTACGTTTTGGATTTAGCCTTACATATTGTGAATGAAAACCATTTTATTTTCCTTTTAGTTCTTTGAGCTAATAACTGTTGTTAACATTGTTCTTGGCTAATAGCAAAAGTTCCTTAACCTATTTGGTTTCTAAACATTAGAAGAAACACAGGAGACTGTGAAGTTTCAGAAGAATGCTAAAGACAATAAAATCAATGAAAGTTGCTAAACGTTGTGACAGTATTAAGGAATATAAGGAAGTCTAGTTATACAACTGTAAAAGACTTAATTTGAGGCATTTTTTTACATATGGATTTTTATAAGTAATCAGTAACTTAAGGCATTAAAGTCTCATACTTTGCCAGGTTTTAAACCGTCCTTTAAAGTTAAAAGGCTTTTTAATATCTTTAAGAACCATGAAAAATCAGTAAATGTGTTATTTCCAGAAAAGTTGCAGTATTCAGAAGACCTTCACTTTATCATAAAGACTGATTTTTGCAAGAGACTAAAAAAGGCTCAGTTTAATCCAGAAAGGGTATTGATTGGCTTTCCTAGTCATCCTACACAGCGGTTCCCAAATGGAATGTTAAACATTACCTCATTCCCTTTGTAATAACACAGACTGCTGGGCTCCAGACCAACCTAGGAGTCAGAACTTGTAGCAGGGAGACAGGGTGAACTTTTAGATGCATCTCAGATTGTTTGGGGATTTTGGCAAATGCCAGTCAAGAAGGTATGTATAGAACCTAATCAATGAAATGATATTAGGGATCTGTCTCTTGCTCTGCTTTTTCTGGGCTCTAATCAGATGGGGTTACAAAGATGGTCACAAAGTCTAGATCTATGTCTCAGCCTCACTGCAATGAAAGGAACATCTCTTCCACAATAGTTGTAGCAAAACTCCGGCTGTTTACACATCCTTGAGTCCCTTGATAGACTTGGAGTTGTTATGTAAGATGAGGTTCATACAGAAGTGGGTAAGAGGAATGGTTCCTTGAAGGAAAATTCGGGCGCTACAACCAGGAGACAGTGAACATGGTGGATGCCTAATGGGGGTCCACTCTGCCTTTTCAGCTGCAGGTTGGCTTGGGATGGAAGTAGCAGTTGCTCTGGTCCCTTGAGGGACAAGTGCAACCAAGCACCTATAAGGGCATTCACTGCAGCACTTCCAGAGAATAAAACCAAAAACTCTGAAATCCAGGTTTTTTCCTTAAAAGAGAAACTTCTCTGAGTTCTACTAAAGGCTTTAGCATTAAAGACACTTTAGTCAGTTCGGTTTAGTCGCTCAGTCGTGTCAGACTCTTTGCGACCCCGTGAATCAGCACGCCAGGCCTCCCTGTCCATCACAAACTCCCGGAGTTTACTCAAACTCATGTCCATCGAGTTGGTGATGCCATCCAGCCATCTCATCTTCTGTCATCTCCTCCTCCTGCCCCCAATCCTTCCCAGCGTCGGTCTTTTCCAATGAGTCAACTCTTCGCATGATGGCCAAAGTATTGGAGTTTCAGCTTCAGCATCAGTCCTTCCAATGAACACCCAGGACTGATCTCCTTTAGGATGGACTGGTTGGATCTCCTTGCAGTCCAAGGGACTCTCAAGAGTCTTCTCCAACACCACAATTCAAAAGCATCAATTTTTCGGCACTCAGCTTTCTTCACAGTCTAACTCTCACATCCATACATGACCATTGGAAAAACCAAAGCCTTGACTATACAGACCTTTGCTGGCAAAGTAATATCTCTGCTTTTTAATATGCAATCTAGGTAGGTTATAACTTTCCTTCCAAGGAGTAAGCGTCTTTTAATTTCATGGCTGCAGTCACCATCTGCAGTGATTTTGGAGCCCCAAAAAAGTAAAGTCTGACACTGTTTCCACTATTTCCCCATCTATTTCCCATGAGGTAATGGGAGCAGATGCCATGATCTTAGTTTTCTGAATGTTGAGCTTTAAGCCAACTTTTTCACTCTCCTCTTTCACTTTCATCAAGAGGCTTTTTAGTTCCTCTTCACTTTCTGCCATAAGGGTGGTGTCATCTGCATATCTGAGGTTATTGATATTTCTCCCGGCAATCTTGATTACAGCTCGAGCTTCTTCCAGCTCAGCATTTCTCATGATGTACTCTGCATAGAAGTTAAACAAGCAGGGTGACAATATACAGCCTTGATGTACTCCTTTTCCTATTTGGAACCAGTTTGTTGTTCCATGTCCAGTTCTAACTGTTGCTTCCTGACCTGCATACAGGTTTCTCAAGAGGCAGGTCAGGTGGTCTTGTATTCCCATCTATTTCAGAATTTTCCACAGTTTATTGCAATCCACACAGTCAAAGGCTTTGGTATAGTCAACAAAGCAGCAGTAGATGTTTTTCTGGAACTCTCTTGCTTTTTCGATGATCCAGCGGATGTTGGCAATTTGATCTCTGGTTCCTCTGCCTTTTCTAAAACCAGCTTGAACATCTGGAAGTTCACGGTTCACGTGTTGCTGAAGCCTGGCCTGGAGAATTTTGAGCATTACTTTACTAGCATGTGAGATGACTGCAATTGTGCGGTAGTTTGAGCAGTCTTTGGCATTGCCTTTCTTTGGGATTGGAATGAAAACTGACATTTACCAGTCCTGTGGCCACTGCTGAGTTTTCCAAATTTGCTGGCATATTGAGTGCAGCACTGTGACAGCATCATCTTTCAGGATTTGAAATAGCTCAACTGGAATTCCATCACCTTCACTAGCTTTGTTTGTAGTGATGCTTTCTAAGGCCCACTTGACTTCATATTCCAGGATGTCTAGCTCTAGGTGAGTGATCACACCATCGTGATTATCTGGGTCATGAAGATCTTTTTTGTATAGTTCTTCTGTGTATTCTTGCCACCTCTTCTTAGTATTTTCTGCTTCTGTTAGGTCCATACCATTTCTGTCCTTTATCGAACCCATCTTTGCATGAAATGTTCCCTTGGTATCTCTAATTTTCTTGAAGAGATCTCTAGTCTTTCCCATTCTGTTGTTTTCCTCTATTTCTTTGCATTGATCGCTGAGGAAGTCTTTCTTATCCCTCCTTGCTATTCTTTGGAACTCTGCATTCAAATGGGAATATCTTTTTTCCTTTGATTTTCGCTTCTCTTATTTTCACAGCTATTTGTAAGGCCTCCTTCAGACAGCCATTTTGCCTTTTTGCATTTCTTTTCCATGGGGATGGTCTTGATACCTGTCTCCTGTACAATGTCACGAACCTCCGTCCATCAGGCACTCTGTCTATCAGATCTAGTCCCTTAAATCTATTTCTCACTTCCACTGTGTAATCATAAGGGATTTGATTTAGGTCATACCTGAATGGTCTAGTGGTTTTCCCTACTTTCTTCAACTGAAACCATAATCACAGAAAACTAGCCAATCTGATCACATGGACCACAGCCTTGTCTAACTCAGTGAAACTAAGCCATGCCATGTGGGGCCACCCAAGACGGACGGGTCATGGTGGAGAGGTCTGACAGAATGTGGTCCACTGGAGAAGGGAATGGCAAACCACTTCAGTATTCTTGCCTTGAGAACCCCATGAAGAGTATGAAAGGACACTTTAGGCATTGCCTTTTCAGTGTCTTGTCTGACCCATCAAACACGGTAGTTCCTTTGGTTACCAGGCATTTTGGGGGGTGCTTCAGAAGTGCATTATAACAGGTAATCTACCTGTTTTTTTCTGAGTGCATGGGTTTTTTCCCTCAAAACCAAAAATTTGCTCCTGATTGAAGCTCTGTTTTACATTGTATTTCCTAGAGCTCATAGAAATCTT